AGTTTAAATATAATATAATAATTATAATAATTAGTAATATAAGTTTATTTAAGGGTTCTATATATATTTCAAGGTTTTATACTTAACTAAGCTTACTTACTTAGCCCCCCCTGGCTTAAGCAAACAGGTAGACTTAGATATTAACAAGCGGCTTGACGGGGAATAATAGTACAGCAGCCAGCTTAACGTCAACTGACACTAATACAGTTGTCGCTGGCTCCGCAAAGGAGCTGGTCTCAAAAGGGTTCGAGATCCATACAAAAACGCGACTGATTTGACCCCGGATCGAGTACAGGATGTCTTGATCGGGATCCGCCGCCATTCGAGCGAGACGTTCAAGTTCCTTCTTCCCTGATAGCTTCTCTTTCTGTGCATTTACTTCAATATTCTCCGGGACCATTTCACTGGCCAATACGGCAAATTGAGCGATAAGGCCTTTGTACTTGGCCACCTCGTCCGACTCGCGGTTGAGGTCGTAGAATCGACCTAGTTCAGAGCTGAAATACATGGCAGCCAACGAAAACATGTATATCTCTGTCTGACGGGTTCGGCCCTCGTCTTTAAGCTTCTTGAACTCTGCAAGGGTTCTAGCTAGAGCGACAGTCCACACTTGGAAAAGTATAGTCTTTCTGTAGTAGAACTTCTCGCCGGCACCATGCTCGAGCACAGCGGCTATTCGTATCAGACCCATTACATGTGTTGTGTCGAGGTCGATGTGCAGGAGACCTGTGATGCAGGCAGATGTAAAATTGTCGAACTCCATTTGGATCTCAGCATCAGCTACTCCCCATGAGCGACCATCATCCCAGCAGTCCCAAGGCCATCTGTTGATGGGTCAGCAAAACGAACATGCAAGAATTCGTACGTGCACGAGGAATATTGCGGCCTTACTTCTTCCCTCTATAGCAGTAGTATAGTACAAATGCTTCATTCACTGTCGATTGAAGCGAATAGGAGTTGCTTTCATAGGCTGGATGTTGCCTGAGAAGCAAAGGAACTAGGGGATTCAAACGCATAATTCCTCGGTCTGTTGGGACCAGCGAATCCGGTACTCCAGTGAACTCTTCAAGCATTCCACCCTCAACAAGTCTATCTTTCACGCGATCACACATGACAGTCAGGAAGCTGCCAGCGGGTAACGGTAGTTCGAAAAACTCGACGTCTTTATGAAACAGAACGCTGAGGCTGGACAATGGCAGGTCCTCTTCAGGTTCAGCTACTTTATCGGCGCTCAGTAAAGTCTCGATGAAGACTCGGGCCTCTTCCGTGAGCTCGGTATTGTCTCTGTAAGACTCTTCCGATTCGAGTACAGCGCGCACAAGCCGAGTAGATGCAGCGTTTCTTAGGATCTTGGCTACTCTTGTGCTCCAGATGCAGAAAATGGTAAGGAGATCTTTGGAAGGCAGAACACCCATGAATGGCGCAAGTATTATAGGTAAAATTCCGTCACCCCAGCCCATACCTCGTAGACTCTCATACACACCGTCAGGATGCGTTCTGCTAGGTGGCTGTTCTGATTGATCATCGTTGTCTGAAGTCTCAAACTTCGCAGGATGCTCAGCAGGACGGTTTGAGCGAAGTCCAAGTAAGAAGGAATATATGTCTTTCGGAGCTCTGGACCAGTAAAGTCCGCTGCGAGCCATGATCTCTATAGCCTGTGGATTTCCATTGACCATCTCAACAACGGCTTCGAGGTAATCTCTCTCTTCTTGCATCTTATTCGTCGCCTCTATCTCAGGAGATGAAGAATTATCATTATCAGTAACACGGTCCCTGAAATCAGAATTCATCACCAACAGAGTCGCTGGTCGAGTTTGAAGCCCGGAAAGGTTGTATATCTTTGCCTTACTCAGCCATCGCTCTCGCTTGCGTGATGCGAGAATGACAATCGCACCAGACCTGGATAGCTTGGACGTGAGATTCATGAATTGGCCTTGTTGTCGGTTAAAGTTCGCAGTGTCGAGATCGTCAATCACTATGAGACATTTATGACTCTCGAAATGCTTATACAAAGAGCTTATATCTTCTGAGTCCGGAGTAGAGTTCGCAACAAAGTGGTGTTGCAGCTGTTGTAGCATATTATCCTTAGTAAAAGGTTCGCTCAGACTGAGGCTTATATGGATTGAATCTTCGATCATACCCGAAGCCTTCCACCATGTACGCAAATAATCCAGAAGAGCCGTCTTGCCAACGCCAGCTATTCCATAGATCAATAGAGGCAGCGGCTTTCCGAGCAAAAGTACTGATTCGATATGGACAATGTCGTGTTCTCGCCCATACAGAGAGTTAGGATGGCTTTGCTCTTGCTCAAGAGGCTTGTAGTCAACTCCCAAGCTGGTAGATGGAAGCCATTCTGGGTTGACATAAGTCAGGACCACGAAGTCACAAATGGGCATCCTCTCATCAACCTCACTTCCCCTCAAGCACTGTCGAGCTGTTCGAGCAGCTTCTCCCAAGGGGAGCTTCTGATGAATGTACCCAGTATAGAGCGATCTTAGAAATGCCTCGACATCATTTTCAGTGATATGATAGGCCAAAGTGACCACGGTTTGTATGCCACCAGTCAAAAGTACTACAGCTGCAGTCTCGACGGCGGATCTGGCATGTGGACAGGGAGCAATGACAACGTCCTGAACACCATGAAGCAGAAGAAGTGCGGCAACTTTATCGACAGCTTTCAGGTCCTCCTCTATCACTTCAGACTTGTTTTGGCTGACGAATTGGAAGTAGATTCTTGGAGTTTCGGGCTCGGATTTTCGAGGGCGCTTGTGGACGAGCAGCGTATCTAAATGAATGGCAGTGAAGTAGCCTTTCGGATGGGATTCAAGCTCAGTTTTCAGGGCACTAAATGATCCAGGTCGCACAAAAATGACGTTTGTAGAATCTCCTGCCGCCTGTAGAATGGCACGTGAGATTGGGTGAGAGAGCTTGCTGGCATGAGTGGAACGACCAGGAGCACGACATGACAACACAAGCACCCTCCTTTGCCCTTTTTTCTCCTGGTCAGCAGCACCATTGCATTTGCGATCCTGGCTGAGATGCTGGGGAGTGCCAGTAGCAAGTGTCTGCACCACGTTGACCTCTATCGGTCGCGTCCTAGGTTCCCATATCTCGAGTGCACTCATCATGTCCTGCACATGCTCACTGACCCAGTTCCCACCATATGGTGGCTCAACATGGCCTGGGACACCAGTTGCCAGAAGAAGAGGCCGGATGGTAACTGAGCTGTTTAACCCGATATAAGATCTACCGTCATGGTCTCTAGTGATATTGACGTCGAAAAGGTGCAGACCGTCCAGGTCTTTCAATTGGGAACGGTCAACATTTCGCCGGGCAATATTGACAGTGATCATTTTATTACTTCTGACTTGTGTTTGCGTCCAGCAGGCTCAAATTCACGTTACCGTTTGATAAGGAGCGAAGCCTAAGGTAGTTATATGTAGTCACCGCTGTTCACTTTGCAGGACGGCACAGTTTGCCGAGCTGCACTGACGAGAAACGAATAAAGACTGCCGCCATTGGAATTGTATACCAGAATTAGTAGAAAATGCCCACACTGGCAGGGGTTTCTTTGGGCGGCAGTGAATCTAAAATGATTTTTCAGCTCACCTAGACTAGGATAACTGTAAATGCAGTCGAATCGGTCTTAGCTCTCTTCAGTATCTTGACCTCACTTGTGATCTGTAGAATTGCTTCTTGGGCACTCCAGAACTTTACACATAACTCCCTTGTAAATCTATCAACAGAATTCCTCTTATCATCTTCGTTATCACCATGCCTACTGAACAAGCTCGGCCATCATTCTATCTACTCCCCCCAGAACGATATCTACCAGCATCGGCCCTATCAACTTGGCTCGGCCGGATCGTCAAATCCTATTCCGAGCCAGACGCAAATTTTGTGCCGGATGATCCGAAGCCCTTTGTAACACACGAATTTGCAAGAAGCACCATCGCCAACGCCAGCCTCGATGCATTATCAAAGCGGAACACGTCGTTTGCTGCCAAACTCGGCGCAACTGTCGATGTCTCCCGAGAAACCAGTAATGGCGGGGGTCTCTCGTTCACTAGCTCTGAGGTCGTCTGTGTACGTCTTCAGAATTACGATCAGGTTTTTGATCGGTTGATTCAACATGAGGAGACAAGATCTCAGCTTCAACGAATGCTAGCTCGCGGCGGCAATGCTGGGTTTCATGGTTACTGCGGTTCTCATCTGGCAGGATGCAACGTTCACGCACTCAAGAGAGCGTGGGGTCACAACCTCGGCCGGTGTTTCGGTGCCTGTGTCTACGATTGTCTCGAGCACTACATGTATCATGCTGCCCTCTGAACTCGCTGACCCAGGGGTTTCCGGGTCGCGAAGTCGCCAAGATACAGCCGAGTTCTCTGGTGAAAGCGCCGGGAGTAACATCTTTGCTCTCCAGTACAAGACTGTGCGGAGATCGGTTTTCCAGTCGTTCTTGGGTATGAACAACGGCATGATGTTGAAAGTAAAGGGTCCAGATTTGCCAGCTTCGCAGTCTTTTGCGAAGAAACACCGTGGAGATGACGAATCTGAGTCTGGGGAGAGTGATCCCAGTAGCGACGCAGAAAGCGACAGAGAGGATGAGATCGAGAGTGATGACAAGTCTAACGATGATTACGAAGCAGTCAAGAATGCTAAGGTCGTCCTGGAGATGGACGAGGATAGCATTACCTGGGCCGATGCACTCGATGAGGAGGAAGAGGGGGTGGAGCGTGTTGATATTAGCCTCGGTGAGGTAGAAATGGAGTTTATATTTCAAATTGAAAACGTAACATTTCGAGGACATAAGGAGGGGGTGCCACGAATGTGACCAGTATACTCACTCGAGCTATTCTGAGTCTCGTAGTATAGCTCTTATTCGCCAATCTTGCCAGCTTCACATCGTGGTGTCAGTGAAACTTGATGACGGAGGCGCAAGCCGGATCTTTCGTTCCCAAGATGTGCCTATATAAAGCCTCCTTGTCCCAGAACAGGGAGACATGGGTTTCGCAACTACACTTGGCTTTATAATGAAGCCCAAGTACGCCTTGTCAGGTCTGACACCAGCCATTTCTGGTGACACTTCGCTAATATACCCTAGGTGCGGCCCGAGCTGATTTCCCCAGCCCTGGGTACCCGAAGAACCTGGAGGTATTGAGTACTCCGATCAGCAAAGGTCTCACCCCATCAACGCAGGGTCGAGGAGACTGTCGAGACGGCTTCGGGGACTTTCGCATATCACTGTGGACAATTACATTGAGCTTATTGTTTATGCCACCTGAGTTTTGTGTTCTTCTCACATTGTCAGTTTCCCAAGATCCATCACAACGACCTCAGTCTTCAAACTCTACATATACTCTCTGCTAAGAATTCCCTTACAGCAAGCCTTATAGAAATGGACACTTACATGATTTCTACTTGAATATTCTGTTGATACTTTATCAAGCTGGATTATCTTATCAAAACTACAATCTCCCCTTATGCCCTGACTTCAACTTCTCACGCGCTCGCTCCAGGATCCCTCTCGCCCGTGGTTCAGACCGTTCATCATATGCCAATATGCCCTCCCCTAATGAACCGCTCATACATAACGCCTCTGCCAAATCCCATGCATCACATAACGCCAGGTTAGCTCCACAGCCAGCAAAAGGCGTCACAGCATGATTAGCATCGCCAATGAAAATGACGCCCATCTTATCAATATCGCCATGAGTGAAAGCCTTCTTGTCCTTTGCGTTGATAGCAAACACAGTCTTTGGATCCGTTCTTTGCACAATATCTCTGAAAGGGTCCTGGAACCTATCCCCAAGATCGAGACTGCGATTTATAACTCCTTGTACCATTTCGTCATTATCAAGATCCAATCTTGGTACTTGTTCGTTTTCGAGGTTACCGACGCCCCACACAACGCTATTCTTGTCGACTGGAGAAAAGAAGCAAGAAACCCCGGTTCCTGATAGCATAAAACCCCAGTCTTTGTCAATGGGCGCTGGAGGAGTCCCGTCAAATCGGGCAATGCCACCTCGGAGAATTGCACCGGCAAATTCGAGGTTGTCGTTGGGTCTAAGGTTTCCTCGGAGTTTGCTGTTCGCTCCATCAGCGGCAATAAGCAGGTCACAATCTTCCTCGGTGATGGTCTCATTGCCGGGGTTTCCACTCGCGACTTGAACCCGCACACGTCCCTGGTCCGTTTGCCTGGCTGAAATGCAGCGTGAGTTCCACTGGACCGAGTCTTCCGGCCGGAGGTTATCGTGGAGGACCTTCCGCAGATCCTTGCGTGCTATCCTAACGCTGGAAGATGGCAGCTCTTCGATTGGCTCATGGCGGAAGCTTGCGTGTTCATGCCAATTGGGCCCCCATATCTTGAAAGCACCCTCTCCGTTGAGTCCAGACACAGCATTATCTACAATTTGGTCAATAAGACCGAGTCTCTTCAGGGCAATGAGACCTCCCGAAGTGTCATGTCCGGTAAGAGATAATGTGTAGCCTTCACGCTGAGCGCTTATGTCGGGCGAGTCGCGGTCGTAGATGATGATCTTGGGCTCCTTGAACTTGGGATTCCATAATTCACGTAGTCCAACAGCGAATGCTGATCCAGAAACACCACCGCCAGCGATGATGATGGTTTTGCCTTGGAGAAAGTGATGTTGATGTGATGAGTCGTCCATGGTTATGTTTGGTATTGGAGAAGGGGAGAAAGGCCGGCAGATGCCGTTATATAAGAGAAACCTACCATGGCTTACGCACTCAAAGTAACACGAGGTTCTCATATACAGGAGTGGCTCACTCACTACATGCTGTGGATGTTGACTAACAGCATCGTGGTATTTATTTCTCACTGACGATGCATACACTGATTACCCAACTGGGTACACGGATTTCCTAATTGAGACATGACCGGGGTGGATGAGACTACGACTGTAACTTCAGTTCTATTATTCAGGACTCGGAAGTTCAAATCATATGAGAATCGCAAGATTTCTTTGTATTTGCTCTCCCTTGTATTATTCGGCAGTTCTTCACTGTCACCGGGTCGGTAGTAGTCCGAGGTCGGAAACCTTGTTCGGCAGTTTGTGATCAAGAGGCTTGGTACTTACGTCTGTTATTCACATGCGCCGTTTGGTCCTTATTAGATGCGGAGCTTGCCTTGAAGAATCAGTATACCAATGCATCATACCTTAGTCAAAGCCACCTTATATGTACTGGACACATCATTCACTTACTCACCAGAGGATGTACATCCATCCATTTAGGTTCGTGAGTACCACGGTAAGCAGAAGGCCGAGGATCACACCAAAAGGTCGAGAGGGCCACTTGCTACCGGGCTCAAGGGGCCTTGAGCGGTATATTTGATAAATACTGCTAGGACTCATTAGTTTCGACCAAGTAGGCATTTCGTATACTTACAAATTCTTCATTCCCCAGCTAGCGAGTAGCGGTGATTACATTGACGAGTTACTTGATTCGTTCCTGATTTGGGTGCCGTAGAGCCAATCAGATTGCTTCGTATAGAGCCAGTAAGCCAAAACGGGAGGCATCTCTATCAAACTATCGGTACGAAAGACTTTCTAGTTATAGTGCACATTATATAGCATTTCATTGATACCATGATAATTTGTTTCCCCCTTTACGGATTAATTTGTTACTTCAAGATCTCTATTCGGAAGTGGTTTGGTCTCAAAATGCTAGAATTGACACCATGACCCCGCATTGACACCCGCTCCCCTCCATCACCAGAAACCCCACCAAAATATTATCATCATCATCACCAACCTTCATAAAAAAAACCTTCACGTCCAGTCCCTCTCTGCCACGATGGCGTCCGATCTCTCTGCCCCTCCTGTCCTCTCAACTCCCGATGACCACATCCTCGAAGTTCCCGCCGCCGACTCCATCCCAACATCCACACTCTCCGACGATGCCCTCCGCGAAACGTACGAGGTTGTTCGCACAGCCGATGAGATCCGCGCTGGAGGATGGAGGCGCATCGGTTTACAGTTTCCGGACTTTATGCTGGTAGACGCTCCTCGGGTTGTAGAGGCTCTATTGAAGGAACTCAGCACACATGATGCGCAGGAAGAGGGCAAGGCTGAGAGGAGGATATACATTCTTGCCGACAGCAGTTACAGCGCCTGCTGTGTGGATGAGATAGCTGCCGAGCACGTTTCAGCAGATATGGTAGTCCACTACGGTCGAACGTGTCTCAGTCCCACGAGCCATCTTCCTGCGATATATGTTTATACCACGCACCATCTCGATTACAAGGTGACATTGGAGGAAATCAAGAAGGAGTTCAGCGACAAGACAGTCAAGTTGGTCATAATGGCCGATCTAACATATCAAAATCATGTTGACAAAGTGGTTTCCCTCCTCAAAGACGAAGGATATACCAGTGTTGTTTCCACAGCAGTAACACGCGACCCGGCCGCCTTGATACCCAACCGCAAGATCCTTTCCGACGAAGCTCATAACGACCAACATTGGAAGGCCTACTCGATTATCCACATCTCCGACCCGCCCTCTGCACTTCTTCTCGCTCTATACTCGCGATTTGCCTCCTTACACGTCCTCGCCACGCCATCTTCAACGCTCGAGAACCCCACCATCCGTACAGCAGGTCTCCTTCGACGTCGATTTGCGAAGGTGCTATCGCTGGCTTCCGCCGGTGTAATCGGTATCCTCGTGAATACACTTTCAGTCGCAAACTACTTGAGCTCTATCAATACTCTGCGCGACAAGATCGCTCGTGCAGACAAAAAGAGTTACACCATTGTCGTGGGAAAGCTAAACCCCGCGAAGCTGGCTAACTTTGCTGAGATTGAGGGTTGGGTTGTAGTCGGATGCTGGGAGAGCGGCTTGGTAGAGGATGATGCTGGATACTGGCGACCAGTTATCACACCTTTTGAGCTTGAGGTTGCGCTCATGAGCGAGGATGAACGGGTCTGGGGCGGCGAGTGGTGGGGTGGTATTGAGAAGCTTGGACTGAACGATAAGCCTCAAGATGCGGTCAACGAGTCCAAGGATGCTGCCGTGCCAGAAGAGGATCAGTTTGACGATGTCGCTGGAGGCGTTGAAGGAGAAGAATCTGCTCCTCCCGAGTTTGACATGCGCACCGGCAAGCTCATCTCATCAAGTCGACCTATGAGACTTCCAGTTCGCAGCGGCCCCTCTACCACCAACACCACGGAGGCGATTGGCGACAGTCCCGCCGGTACAGCCAAGCAGAATGATGCTCTTATCAAGCGCAGCGTTGGCGAGTTGGCGAGCATCAACGGTGTCGCGAGTCCTGGAGCCGAGTTCCTTCGCTCTGGTCGCACATGGCAAGGATTAGGCACCGATTTCGACAATGAAGCAAGCACATTAGTCGAGGAGGGCAGAAGCGGTGTTGCTCGAGGCTATCAAGTTGGAGAATCGGACAAACATTGAAGGAAGGTTACATAAAAAGTGATACCATTTAGCATAACACGGCGTTGGGATGTAGACAAAAGTAAAAGGCGGCGAATATTCATGGTTCAAAAGATGTGTTCTGGGGTAGTACGCTCAATGTTCTTTTCGTCGCTCATGTAACAGTTAAGTCATATTATATACAATTGAATCATCCACCGAAGCAGCCTCCAGGGCCTATGCTGCGGCATACCCGTATCTAATCCTAGCCCATCCCTTACCTGAGCTTCATTATCCACCTCCGAAGCACGGGAGACAAAGAACCGTCATCAACATTGTATCATGTTGGTCGTCGTCAATCCATTCGATTCCATCCAAAGAATAAGAAATATGTTCTAGGAGAAGTCATAATGCATGAGGCCGCTTTCCTTGCGGCGATCGTAACAG